GTTATACTAATAATATTATCTGGATCCTGGACTTTAAAGATTCGAGCTGTCTGTCCTGGTGGCGTTTCGTAGACTTACGGGATCCCCAGTCTTCGTACGGACATCAATCACGAACTCAGCCGGTAAAAGGGCTGCCGGCTTTTCTGCCTCCATAAGTCGACCGGCCGCTTCTCGACCGGACTTCTTGAATGACGTCACGCTTGTTGCAGATCCGATGCTGGGTGAACCACTGCCACCGAGTTGCCAACCGACTGATCTGCCGTTCTGCCAGGCGGCCAGCAAAGGAGCTTCAGTCAGCACAAATTCGCCTCGATCGGGCACAGTGCGGTTGAGAAAGAAGCGATCTGCCAAGGAGTCATGCGAATAGGATTTATTGAATAGGCAAACGGCGATACAGGTTTGAAGGGGCGGACAAAAGCTGCCAGAAAGTTAACCGGTTCCACAAAAATGCTTAAAACCAACGTGTTGATTGTAAAATTTTACTGCACTACAACAGACATTACTAAAGGAATATATGCGAAGAAAAGTTGGGTTTCGAGGAATCTCTTGTTTTATAATTTCGAGTGAAAGTGTTGAGTCAAGAGATTGGAAGGTCGGTTCCGCCGGAAGACAACGGCGGATTCCTTTTGACCAGCCGTCGATTGGCTTTAACAAAAGATTCATGCTGAAGCCGTTTCCAAGGCAATCTCCTTCGATTCCGGTCATATGATCAACATCATCAGAGCAAGCTAACATCATCACAACAAAATTGAAGCTGACGAATCAAGAAGACTCACCGGCAAATCCCTAAAAAGTGGTATATATACTCTACCAGTCGGGATGGTGATCAGGTTTTTTGTATAGTTTTCTTGACGCGTTAGCTTGAATTTTGTTGTGACGATGTTACCTCACTCTGATGATGTCCGTCACCGGAATCGAAGAAGACTGCCTCGGAAACAGCGTCAACATAAATATTCCAGTAAAGCCAATCGACAGCTGGTCAGGAGCAATCCGCCGTCGTCTTCTGGTCGAACCGACCTTCGAATCTCTTCACCCAACACACTTTAACTCGAAATGGAAGTAAGCTCAACATTTACCAAAGGATCCAGATGTATTCTAACCAGACAAAAATAGACAGTCGTCTGGTTCTGGTCTATAACTACTCAAAAGCCATAGACATCAAAGTGTCTTGGCTACACAAACGCTAGCAAACAACAAACTATAGCTATTACACAGAATAGATAGCGATACTAACTGTACCATGGAGTCAGAAAAGGAAAATAAATTACCTTTTTAGATGTATTAATAGGCAAAGAAGGTAATAAATTAGGCAGAGACGTGCATAGAAAACGCACACTAGAAGGATCAGAAGATCGGTAGATTTTGAGGCATATATTATTTCAAGTCAACAACTCTTTATCATTAATGGATAATTACATTTCAAGTGTCATTAACAGAATGAGGAGGGATATGCAATTGTACCATTTTACTAGGTTCCTCATTCTGCCTCCAAATCAGCTTGCGAAAAAGTTAGCTGACCTGCTGAGGGAGTGGAATACCGGAAGAATGTACAAAGAGGAATTATCACTTTCCTCCTTCGTGCCTTCTTTCCAGATCAGGTTGCCTCAATGTTTTGTGCTCATGTGGTAATGTCCAGAAGAGACTATGCGAACACAAAACAGCCGTTTGTAAAGGTCTATGGGTCCAAAAGTCTGAGTTCGTTGAACGCATGGCTAATGCAGAACACTCCCTAGACTGGTCCGAATCACAATGTTTTGCTGACTACTGGGATTCCACACCACAGCGGAAGATTACGCAGCGTATGGAAATCAGCAAAGGTTTGTGCTAGCCAACCAAATAATGAGATACCTCATTGAGGTCGCAAGGTTAGGCGCATAAAATAAGCGACTAGGGTTGCAGCTAGCCACCATTTCTCTTGATTTAGTACATTTTTGCTCTGATAATGTCTGCCGTAATTGCACAGAGGAAAGCTAAGCACAGGTCATTGAGATCACATAACTGCGAGCCGAGGACTTATTCGCACAATGCAACAGTCTTCAATCCGCGACACTCCTCCTTCGCTTTCCGATGAGACCGTTTCCCGAATTCTCTCCAACCAACTTTTTATTTGTAATTCTAAGACATGCCACAACGAATGACGAAGTAAGTCTTCGAAATCCACTTTCTCTGATACCTGCTTGTCTTATCAACCTCATTCATGGTACAAAGTTTAACTTTGGCAGAGGTCTGGATTATCATTACGCACATGTTGCCCCTATACACAATTGGCACCCAGTCTATATGATCGAGTGGTGATGTGATGATGCCTTAGGCTTGCGGACGCAAACTGGCATCGAGTCCTGCTGAAGGTGATGGGGAGACTAGGGCGAGATAGAAACCCCAGCCTTTCAGGCAGCGAGATTGACTGAGCTTCCATTTCATCCTCAAATCTTCCACTTTGCTGATTGTGAGCAGCTCAAATACGAGGCCGCGCATCGCCTAAAGCAAACTAAAGTGGCCTTAGTTTCTGTCCAAAGACAAGAGAACAAATGTAAATGATTAAAAAAGTTCATCCAGGAGCATTAGGTTAGATTTTTACTTTATGAAGTATTTCGTTTAAAGTGATGAAGGACTGGTAGTAGAATTTTCCCACAATCATATATATGAGTAGAGCCGACATTTCCATTTAATTTCACATATTTTCGCATTGGAGTAGAGTTTCGAGACTACCAGTAAATCAGTAATATGAGATGTATTCACCCTATTTTGTCTAAGTTGATGAAGGACTGGTAGTAGAATTTTGCCACAATGATATGAGTTGAGCTGACGTTTCCATTAAGGTTAGTGTGTCAAACTCCCATCCTGCACTGTCGTGGTTCGACTCCCACCGAGGGTGTTGATAAGACCGATGCGAAGTCGAAACTGCAGTCCACTGGTGCCTGGATGAGAACAACTTTTG